CGCTGTGCACCCCCCCCCCCCAGCACACATCCCTCTCGTTTTGTTAATTAATGAGTTGAACCCCACTGCTCCCGCACCTGCTGATGGAGCTGTGTTCCTATTAAGTCCTCACCCGTCCTGTAGCTAAAGGCTATCCAGGTTCTGACAAGGTTGTCCCCCCCCCCCAAAAGGGCCACCCCACTGAAGGGACACCCAAGCTTCTGTGAATTAAGTGTCACTTGAACGTCTCTGCTGCGCTGGGACAGTGTTACCTGGCAGTGCTGTGGGTACAGAACCACTTCTGGGGGGAGTGCCCCCTTCCTGGGAGGTTGGTTTAAGGGAAACTCCCCTCCTTTTTTTGTTTTTTAATTTTATTTTTACCCCCCAGTATTGGGCCGGTGTCTCCCCTTCCCCAGGTGAGCTGCTGCAGGAGGAGGTGTGTCTGTAGCGCTGCCTCCTGCTCTCTGATGCCACTCAAAGCCCCAGAGACCACTTCTGGTTGGTTTATTTGTTTGTTTGATGTTGATGTGCCCTTTGCTCACAACTGCAATTAAAAGACTTAACCGAGGCGGATGGTGGCGTTGTCTTCTTGGGGGAGGAGGCCAGGGCTTATGGGAGGGTTCCCCTGACAGGAGCACCCCCCTGGCAGCTCTTTGGGGGACCACCAAGGGCCTGGGTGCCCCAAGGGGGTGAGACTGAGCTGTGGGGCTGGATCCTGGACCCTGGCACTTGGGGGGATAAAAACTCAGCCCCTCCATGGGGCAGCCCTTTCCCTGTGTTACAGCCATGTCCCCCAGGACGTTTGTGTCCCACCACAGGCACTGGGGGATCAAAGCTTAAAGTCCTCTGGCATTGCTCATCCAGGCCCTGTCACGGGTGACTGATGGGGAGGAGGAGGCAATTAAGCAAACGAGCGAGCACGGTTACAGTTCATGGCAGATGGCCTGTAAAGTCCAAGGGGACACTTCTGGTCCATTGCCCATCATCATCATCAGGGCAATTAACCCCCCTGAGAACCTCCCGTTGCCGTTACCAACCTTGGCCTTCCCTGGGGCTGTGCCTTGCCCAGCTCCTGGCCAGCTCTTCCAGCCCAGGAGGAGACCAGCACCTTGGAGCCAGTCCCTGTTGGTCCCCTGGGACCTCCCCACCCCTCAGCTGAGGTGTTCCCTGGAGGTCTCCTTCCCTCCACCCACCAGCTTTACTGACCTGAAGCACTTCCCAAGCCACGCCGTGGGGTCCCAGTAGCTTTTCCTCATCCTCCAGCAGCTCCCAGCGAGGCCCCGTGGTGTCTCCTAAGGACTTGGTGGGGGGGGGGAAAACCAAATCCTTGGTCCAGTCCGACATCTTTAAAAGGTTGAAAAAGATGAAAAGATGTAATTCTACTGCGCCAAACTAGAACCTTCACCCTTTTTTTAAAATTAGTTCTTTTCTCTGAGGCTGGCACCCAGGGGGGGCTGAGAAATGGGTACCAAAGACCAGCCTCAGGAACATCAGAGTGACTCTGTCACCAGGTGATTGGTTTCTCCCCTAAAGATGGTTTTTCAACCCAGCCATTAAAACATGGGATTGAGGGTTTTTCCGGAAAACACCTGGAAAAGATCCGCAGGAGAGCCCCTGTGCTTCACGGGGAGGGTCCATCCCTGGCTGGAAGCAGGACAAGGACTGACCCCCAACCCCCTCACCTCATCCAAACCTCCCCTGTCCAGAAGAACCGGGCAGGACAGGGCCGTCTCTGGGGCTGTCACCTCCCTGTCCCCACCTCCAGGCTCCTCCCGCAATGAGACAGCCAGGCGTTGTGATGAACACTTTTATTTACAAATATAATTAAAAGCTCTGACAGTTTATTCATGCTCTTCCTTGGAACCTGAAAAAATGTTTTTTGTTGGGTTAATTTTTTTTGTTTTTCTTTTTTTTTTTTTTAAAGTGCATGCAAAAGAAGTAAAGCCTTTTTTTTTAATCTTTTTATTGTAAGAAAATACACAGTTTGAAAGTGTGAATAATGCAATATTTATGACCAAGAT